CTGCACTCCCTACCTGAGGGGTCAGGGTGATCTGCAGAGGAGCATCAGGAACCACCACGAAGAGCCTCATGAACTGGGCGTAGTGGGGCTTGAGGCCGCGTCCCTGCGTCGAGGACAGGATGTACAGGGGCATGTCGGAGTTGAGGGCTTTCAGGGCCGACTCCTTCGGCCCCCCTCCCATCACCTTCATCACCTTGTCAGGCCCCGAGCACATGAACCTCCTCCCTCGTGCATCTTCATACTCAAAGCCCACAAAAGCCCGAGCGATGTCGTCCCTGCGCCGGCCTCTCCCCATCACCACGGCGCTCCTTTTCCCAGGAACAGCCTTGTTGGGAGCAGGCCAGGAATTGGTGTCTAAGTCTCCTTCATCTTCAGTTCTCGTCCTGATGACAATGTCCCAAGGCATTAAATAGTTTGTCCCCGGGATAAAACCCTGCTGATCTAAGCCTGTGTGGAAGTTGTAAGCCTTAGCAGGCCCCAGCTTGACCAGTGACCAGCTGGAGAATTTGGGCAGAAGGCCTTTGGGACAGTTGGAATGGAGCATCCCGGGCAGGTACTCGACAGTGGATGCCTGGCGATCCACCAGGCTCGGCCTCTTCTCGCCCTTGGAGTCCCCGCTCTGCCCGTGGCTCTCTGCGTTGTCCCCTGCACCCTGGGCATCCGGTGGGTAGGTGCCCAGGCTGCCCGTGGACTGGCCCAGGCTCAGGGCTAAGCTCAGGCCTGTGCTCTCTCCCTGAGTCTGAGGCTCCTTCTCTTTGAGTTTCTCCATCTCGCCCTCCGGAGGGGCGGGCGAGGCCTCGTCCCGAGCAGGCGCTGGGTCAGGTGTGCTTGGCTGGAATATGGGGAAGTTGATGTGCTCCAGTTTCCCACAGCACTTCTCTTCCAGCAGCTGCGAGAAAGAAAAGGTGGTTTAGTATCCACCCTGATATGAGGGAGCTCAGAGCCACAACATCCAGCAGCTATAATTAAGATACAAGACGTTTCTCACATTTGTACCATGTGAGAACCAAAGCAGCGATGGGAACACGGCCCACAGACCTGATTATTTAGAATTCACAATGACCAATGCATTCTAAGTGTAAACAGCTGCATAAACTGGTGCTCCTGTGTGTGTGGTAAAGACTGGAACTGCCCATCCCGGTCAACCCATTTCTGCTCTCAGAAATGTCTCCCCCAAGCAAAACGCTGGTAAGGTTAAGAGGAAACTTGTGGTCACTTCAGAATACAGACTCTGCAGCTGAAACAAAAGCACTGCTGGAAGCACCAAGAGACCTGAGAGTTACCTGGTAAAAGTCATAATTGGCTGCTTTGATATCAAAGGGGTCCTCCCGAGGAGCTTGTTTCCTTCCACAGTTGCAGGCACCAGTGGAACGAGCCCGGCTGTTGTGGTACAGAATTGGGGGATTTCTGTCTGCTTCTGGCTTTTCCCCTAAAAGTAAAATCAATCAGACCTTGGGCAAATTGCTCACCGCTCAAAACTTTCTTTATTCCCTTCATCCATTGCTCCCTCCCTGCTATACACAAATACAAAATGTTTGTCAAGCAACTCCTCCCTTTCCCACTTTTAATAATACAAAGTTCCAGCGGAGGTTATACCACTAAACCAAATCTTATTTGTTTTTACAGCCTCTTCCTGAAGGCTCAAAGTTCTTCTGCCTGCAATAAACTTGCAGAAGTCAGTTTTGACTCCCTGATCAACCAGGTCATTTTAAAACAAAGGGGGATGCTCATGCTTTTTAGAGAACTTTGTTCTTACACTCCTCTCATTAGGAGGACTCCAGTGTAATTGCTTTAAGCTAGTAAGACAGAATCAGAGTTACTACTAAAATCAGAAAATCAGAGTAAGAGTTGCTACTAACAGCGGACTGGCTCCTAAACTCAACATAAAGCAAACCTGCACATCAGCTCAGCTATGATCCCACTGTAGAGATGATCACAGAATCACTTGGGGTGGAAAAGACCTCTGAGATGATCGAGTCCAACCTTTGCCTGGTCACCACCTTGTCAATTGGAGCACAGCATCGAGTGCCACACCCAGTCCTTGAACACCTCGCTTTAAAGCTGCAAACTTTCACCTCCCACAACATTTCAGAGCCAGTACTTTAAGCCTAAGACATTTTAATGCAGATACAAAACTGAACCATGAAACCAAAGCACAAGTGAGCATCTTTACCTGCTTTGGGGAGCAGATGGAACTTGTGCACGCAGTGCTGGTCCGTCAAGCTCCGCTCCTCGCAGAGCTGGTGCCCGTTGCTCCAGAACTTGTAGCAGTCCTCGTTGAGCTGCATGGCGTATTTGTGGAAGGCTGGGCCCCGGGCGTGCTGGCTGTACACGCGCAGGGCCTGGGCCAGCTGGTTCTTGTGCACTGTCATGGTGTAATTGTGGGGCAGGTTGGACTGGTAGGCGCTGTGGGCCATGGGCAGAGCCTTCTGGCAACGGTTTTCAGAGAACTTGGTGTCTATGTCTAAGTAGCCCTCCAAAACTTTGATGCTGCTCATGATTTTTGAGCTCAGCTCGCCACAGGTGGGGTCATCATCTTTGCCTTCGATGGTCACTTCATAGAGTTTTAGAGCAGCTGCCACCCACTTCTGGTAGGTTGGGAGCTCAAAGTGAGAGGGCTGCGGGTTCCTCCCCACGCTGTCTTCAAAGCCCTTCTTGCTGAGCACCAGCTCCACGTGCTGCCACAAGAACTCCTTGAGGGTGCAGTCCACGAGCTGTCCAGAGGAGCTGGAGCTGGAGCTGCTGCTCTCTGCGTGGAAGGAGAGCTGCTGCCGGCCGTGCCTCATCATCTGATACCTCCTGGGTCCCGACAGGGTGGGAGCCAGCAGCGAGTCAGTCTCCCTCATGGTGCAGTTGCTCCTGAGCTGGTCGAGAAGCATGGCCACGGGATCGTCTCCATCCTGGGGCCCACCAGCCACGATGTACACGAACGCCTGGTTGGCGGGCACGGTGAACAGGCAGTTGATGCTCTGGTTGGTCAGCACGCGGCTCTTGCGGAAGATGCGGTAGATCTGATCCTCCAGAGCGTGCTGCAGCCTCCTCTTGGGGGAATGCTTCTTGGGGGGCGGCTTTTCCAGGTGACCACAGGGATCGTGACCCCTGCTTGGCAGCGGATCCACCTTCAGAGCCCCGTTGAGCTGGAAGAGGAAGAGGAGGCGTGGAGGGCACGGCCTGCAGTTGAGCTTCCACTCCTTGCCGACAGGACAGTCCTTGATAGCAGCTTTCAGCGAGGGCAGCACCTTCTGCCGCAGCCCATCCAGCGCCCTGAACACGCGGTCGTAGGTGATGTCGAAGGAGCAGGTGGGATGCACCAGCAGCAGGATGTGGCACACGGAGAACAGATAGAGGAGGCTCAGGCAGTGCAGCTTCTCCTGGTGCTTCCAGAACTCGTGCGCCTCGGCGTGGGGCAGCGGGGCCGGGCCTCCGGAGGGGTGCCCGGGCCCGGCCTCTCTGTTCTCGGCGGCCGCCAGGTCCCCGCAGGCGCGCAGCAGCTGCGGCGTGTCGCAGATGGAGGTGAGCACCAGGTACAGCACGCGGCTCTCCTGGCTGTAGTACGCCTGCAGCTGGTTGTAGTCCTTGGTGGCCGGGTCCCCGTCCTGCCCCGCGGCGCCGTCCGCCAGCTCGGGATCCTCCTCGGGGAAGAGCGGGAACACCTGCCGGTCGCACACGGTGCTCACCAGGGCCTCCTTCTCGGAGCAGAGCTGCAGCGCGGTTTTGCCGAAGATGCCCACCACGCACACCTCCTCCTCGCCGCCCGCCGCGCCGCCCGCCTCGGCCGCCAGCAGCAGCTCCCGCAGGCTCATGGGCCCCACGGCCGTGCCCATGGCCCCGGGCGGCCCGGCCCCGGGCAGCGGCATCGCTCCCAGCCCCGCTCCCGGCTCCGGAAGCGGCGGAGCCCCGGCCCCGGCCCCGCGCATGAGCGGCCCCGCCCCGGAGGGCGCGGACACGGGCACGGGGGGCGGGCGCTGCGGGGCGGCACCGACCGCGGGTGACAGCACGGTGGGCACCGCATGGCCGGGGGTGACAGCACGGCCGGGGGTGACAGCACGGTGGGCACAGCCCGGGGGTGACAGCACGGCCGGGGGTGACAGCACGGAGAGCACAGCCCAGGGGTGATAGCATGGCCGGGGGTGACAGCACGGTGGGCACAGCCCGGGGGTGACAGCACGGCGAGCACCGCGCGTCCCCATCGCTCCCGAGGGTCGGCTCCGCACAGCCGGGAGCGCCGGGGGGACCGTGCCGGGATGCAGGGCTGTGCTACCGGGACTCACCGCGGGTCCCCATCGCTCCCGAGGGTCGGCTCCGCACAGCCGGGAGCACCGGGGGCACCGTGCCCAGATGCCGGGCAGGGCTGTGCCACCACTCTGCCCTGGTCCTGGGTTGTGTCGTGAGCTAAACCGCGGTACGGGCACAACCTCTGCCCACCCCGTGACTTGGAAGGAAGTTTTGAGTTCCTCGCCTTTAAGCAGCGCAGCCTTTTAATCACGATCAGCCAGCAGTGATACACAGTACAAGGTCCCCTGACATTTGTAGCCACAGGCTCTCCAAACAAAACAACTGTTTTGTTGAAGCTTGCAGCTTACCACTTTAATAATGTTAGTGCATTAAACTGTTGTTTTTTCTCTGAAAGTGTACAAATACCGTCAAGATATATTTTTTTAAAAAAAGATATAATAATACTGAATTTCAGCAAATACATATTTGTATGACAAGCAGCACCAGTGCTAGGAATATAATAGTCCCTGCTTCAGCAGCACCCAGGTGTCAAAAGATTTGGGAAATTTCCTATTTTTTTTTCCATTATGAATAAAGATGCAACCAAATTGAGAGACATTAGAGAGAGATAAAAAGCACAATCTGCTTTACAGGGTTTCACAATGCCCTGTTTTCCTGTGCACTACATTTACTTACAAATACATGTGCCTGAGTGGGATAAAAATGGGATTCAAGTGTCTTCTTGACCACAAATGGAAAATTGCTCCATAAACCTACTTTCCTTTTTACTTTTCATCAAAGCTGTTTGCAGCACTCAGCCGTGCAGGAGAGGGACTCTTTGGGTGAGCCATCTGTCAAAAGAAGGGAAGGGTCAGAACTTGGATATCTGAGCTCATTATCACTGAGATAAAACAGTGCGATTCTTAGCTGGCACCTTAAAACCGACACGACAAATCAGTAAAATAAAAGATGCAATTCACCCTCACATTTTGTTCTTCTGCAAAGTGGAACTATGGCTTTGAAAGGTGCATTGAGGCACGCCATTGGCCACCAAAAAAAGCCATTTTTCCTCTTGGGATTGTCAAATAACCTGCCAGAATGGCATGTCCATTCTGCAGAGCCCTTAAATCAGTAGGAATTCTGTGATTTTTATGATTCCAAGAAGAGGGACAGAGTGACTTGCCTGAAATTTGCGCCGCAGTGCCCGTGTCATGATTGGGGTCAGCCCAGAGCCACATTCAGTGTTTTCTTTGCTATTCAGAGGAGTGCCACCAGGACTTCTGAAAGGGCAATTATGATTAGTTTGATTGGTTCTCTAGTTTTTCTAGATTAAAAAAAAAAAACCAATTAAAGAGAACAGAAAGGAACAGACCTTTCTATATCGACTTTCTTCAGATGCTTCCGAAGATCAATCTGATTTTTAGGGGAGGTACTAAGAGAAAAAAAGGAAATTGGTACAATGAAATGTTTCCCACTCAGTAAAACATTAATCACAGTTTAAAACAGAAAAATCTAATATCTAATCAAGGAAAAAAGCATCTTACATTAAAGATTTTGCAGCATGGGGTGATGGCTTGGATTTAGGTCTCAGACTAACACTCTGTAGATCTGTGACTGTAATTAATGCCCTGCGTGGCTTCAGTGGTGACTGTTCCTACAGCAAGGAGAGAAATGTTACCCCAAATAAAACTTCAGAAGGTCTCACTACCCTGAAATCCATTTAATATTTAATAAATCTGTAAGATTTTTGTGGTTTATGGCTTTTATGCTTTTTTTGAATTATTAAGATTTGAATGTGTCTTGGATAAAAATAGATTTAGAAAAAAAAATAAACAAAACTAAAGAAAGTTTTTTTTTTTCTGCAAACAAAGTTCCAGCTGGGCAAAAGGAGTCCGAAAATCTACTGATAAAACACAAAGCTGCATGAAAGCTCCATGGCCTTAATGTAAAATCAGAGCTGTCCTGAGTGCCAGGTGAGATTGGAATTTGTCACTTTATTCCTTCCCTTCCAAAGCCCAGGTGAAGAATTAGCATGGTCACTTGAAACTATCACTGGGTGTTTGGATGAGAATCAATCAATTTTAAAAAAAAGCAGGAAATACAGCACTTCCAGGGCAGATGTTCCCTTGATTCACCCTCCAGTTTACCTTGTCCATTCTCAGGTTGCTGTTTGTCTTCTTCAGTTTAACATTCAGGAGGTCTTTGAGGGTGATGTGCATGGGCCCATCCTTTTTCACTGGTGCTGCCTGAAGGCAAAGGGGAAATCAGGAAGGGAAAGTGACTGAGCACTCACAGAGAGTGATGTGCTGATGAATCCAGGTCCAAAAGGAACTCAGGCATGAAATAAAAAGCAGAGGAACCCTCTGATTCCCTACCAGTTTAGAGGCTGTGCCCCGTTGGAGGAGGAGAGGAGCTGGAGGCAGTTTGGGTGGAGGCAGCAGCGGCAGTGGAGGAGGAGGAGGAGGAGGAAGAGGAGGAGGAGGAGGGGGGATGGACACAGGGACGGATGCTGAGGATGGAGGATCCATCTGTGTCCCCACAGGAGCACCCAGGACTGGCTTGTGACACCTCTGGCAAAGGGAACTTTCTGAAGGCGGAGCTGCCACGCTGTTCATCTGAAAGCGACAGAAATAAATAAAGAGAACATTAAATCCAGCAGAAAAAGAAGGGGGGATTTTAGAGAACAAAGGTGGTGGCTAAGGTTGAGCTGTAAAGATATAAACCCTCCTGCTGTGAGGGAGCAGCAGCTCTGAGTGCACAGAATGCCCCTGAGGAGCTGCTCAGACCTCAGAGGATCTGCACTGAACACAATTCTTTATCCTTACACAATTCCTCATCCTCACACAAACAAATATTGCCCTGCCCCAGCTGCACTGAGACTGACCTGGAGGGCTCCTTGTAGCTTGGAAAATTCACTTTCCAACTTCTCCAGCTTCTCCCTGAATGTATTTAGCTCCCTTAAGTAGGCTTGTGATGGAAATATGGTGTCTTTAACCACCTGAAAGCTCTAAGCATAAAAAGAAAGCAGATTATGTGTGTCTGTGTGTCGATTTTCTTCAGATCAACATGATTTTTAGGAGGGGTACTAACAGAACAAAAGAAATTGGTACAGTGAAATATTTCTCACTGAGTAAACAGCACTAATCCCTGTTTAAAACAGAAAAATCCAATATCAAAGAAAGGATCTACCTGTGTAACCCTGCTGTGGCACCACCAATACAGAAATGATGCTGCTGTTGTCAAGGGTCTGACCACACTTTTTACACTGGGCAAGGCTAAAGGCCAGTGGGAACACTTTGGGAGAGGTGATGAGTTCAGAGGGAGAGGAGCTGGTGACCTGCAACAGAACAAGGCCAGAATTTCATTTATCAACTCATCCTTTAATAAAGTTAACTGTGACTAATCATGTGGAAATTACAAGCAGGTAACAACAGAGAAAATGTGATTATAGAAAGCCAAGATACATTTCAATAAAGGGGGAAAATCCTATTGGAAATAGTTTTTTTATTCAAATTGCTTTTCCTGGTTATTAATCATAGAAACATTAAGGTTGGAAAAGATCCTCAAGGTCACATCAAAAGATACCATGGAGTGCCATGGACGTGGCACAAATCCTTGCCTCTTTTCCATGAGCCATTGGGAGCTAAAACAAACCCAGGGATGGAGTGAGAAGGCAAAATTCAAGTAGAGCCTCTTCTCTTACCGTGGAGAGGGACAAACTGAGCCCTGGGGGGTTGCAGCATTTCTCTTCTTTTCCACTCGAAATTTTGCTCGGGATCTTCGTTTTCGTTTGCATTTCTTGTACCTTGCCATTACTGGGGAAAAAGACACATTGCAAATGGGTGTAGAGAGAGATAAATCAAATTATGCATTGGGACAGAGCTGCCACCAAAGAGAACAGCACAGGCAGCACCTCAGAAATGCAGCCAGAGGTTACTCACAGCTGCCTTGGTGGAATTATCATGGACCAGTGATAGAAAATATATCCTTAATTTCATATGATCCATAGGGATGTGTTTGCACACAGAAAGCACCGTTTTATATGGGCTTATTCCTCCCCTTTTCTATTTGTATCATAGATAGCATTAAAAAATAGTTATCATAAATATAATAAAAATATGAATTAGTTAAATAAGTACACATGAAAAACACTATTTATAATACTATAAATAAGTGTAAATATACAAGAAAGTGATTAGAAATATTATCAACTAAATAGAAACGTTGCAACTATTAATACGTAAGCACAATAAAAATAAACGGATGTTCAGTTTTTCGTTACGCTGGCGTGCCAAGCATTGAATTTGGGGAAAACGACGCTTGGGGAGAACGGTGACAAAAGCCACGGACAAGCCACGGAAGGATGCCGGGGCCGGCACGGGCCGGTCCCTGACCGGCGATCGGTGACACCCCAGCCCCGCTCACCGGGATCCCGCACGGAGAGCGGGGATGTCTCTGTCACTCACTCACACACACACCTGCACACACCTGTGGGGATATGCCGGGGGTGTCCCGGGTTTGTCCCGGGGCCGCCCTCCGCGCCCGCCGCCGCCGCCGCCGATTCAAACCGCTCCCCGCGCCGGGCCCAGCCAATGGCAGCGCCGCTCTCTGCCGGCCCCCCCACGCGCCGCATGTAAGCCGCGCGCTGATTGGCCGCCGCGCCGAGGCGCGCCCGCGCTCGACGGGAGAGGGGCCGGCGCTGCCCCGCCCCGGCCCGGCCGCGCTGAGGCGAGCGGCGCCGCCATTGGACGAGCGCGCTCGGTCCCGCCAATCGGCTGCGGGCAGCGCTCGGCTGGGGAAGGCCGGCGGCGTGAACCGGGCGAGGAGCGACCCCGCCGGGGCTGCCGGGGCTACCGGAGCGACCGGGAGAGAACCGGGGAGGCGGAGCGGCGGCGCCGCCCCCTCAGGGCCGCAGCGGACCGGCCCGCGCCGCTTCCCGCCAGCGCCGCGCGCCCCGCCCCGGCCAATCACAGCCGGAGCCCACTCCGGGCCAATGGGCTCGGCCGTACCTCGGAGCGGGTTTACATTCTCCGCGGGCCAATGGCGAGCGCGCCCCGCGAGCCGCCAGCCAATGGGAGGCCCGCGGCGAGTGACAGCTGGCCAATGGGCGCCGCCGACTCTCCCGTGCCGCGGCGCGGGGGGTGGGGATCTCCCCGCCGCCGCCTGAGGAATGTCAACTATTCAACATGGAGACGGCGGTTACCAGGCTCGAGACCCTGGTGAGGGCGGGCGGCGGCCGCGCTGAGGGGCGGCCGCGCCGCGGGCCGGCGGCGGCGACGCCTCGGAGGGCGCGGGGCCGCCGCGGAAGGGAGGGAGGAAGGGAGGGAGAAGAGGGCGCGCGGGCGCGGCGCGACGGAAGAGCGGCCCCTCAGCCGCGCCCGCGTTCCCCATCCGGGCCCTGAGCGCGGCCCGCGCCGCCCTCGACGGGGCGCCCGCCGGCCGCGTCCGGGTCAGGCGGGTTCGGCCGGGCCGGTCCATTCCGCCCCCCCCCGCTCATCGAGGGGCGGGGCTTGCGCCGCTCCATTCACCCCTCAGCGCGGGGCAGGGCGCGGCCATTTCCCGCGCACCTGGGAGGGGGGGGCGGGGGGGTGGGCGCGCTCATTGCCCGCCTCGCGGGGGGACGCGGCCGGGCCGAGCCGCTCCATGTGCTCGCGGCGGGAGGGGGGGCGCGGCAGAGCGGAGCTCCCGGACTAGTCCATTTTTTCCCGGAGGGGGGTGAGGGTGGAGCGCTCACCTGGGCTGAACCATTGTGGTTACGGAGGGGCGGAAACGCGGGCGGGGCTGGTCCATTGGCGCGGGCGCGCGGGGGGAGCGGGGCGATGGCCCCTCAGCCTTCAGGGGCCGAGCCCCAAAATCGCGGAGTTTTCCCCGCTTTTCTCTCCGTTCCACGGGGCTGCCCCTCAGGGAATGACAGTCTCTCTGCCAGCCCCACTTCTGGAAAAGTGGAAAAAATGAGGTTTTTTCCTCCTTTTTCTCCTTCTCCAAATGAGAGCTTCATTTTTTACCTCACGCGTGAGGGCTCTGGCGAGCGGTGTCCAACCAGCCGAGTTCCTCGTGCCGTCCTTCAAACCTTCGCCTTCCTGCTACAGAGTCTTTTTGCCATTTTTGCCCACATACCTAGTACTCTGTATTTTTTCTGAAGCCTAATCTAATTTAGAAACATGTTTAAAGATACTTGGGTTAGATGTTTAATTATCGAATTTATTTATTGTCATGGTTTATTGAAAGTCATGCTTTCAAGTAATTCTCATTTTAGGACGTGTGAACAGAGAGGTATTTTTGCCCTCTTTAAGCTAACAAGGGCTTTTATTCTGGAATTTAGAATAATCTCACATCTCACAGCTTTGTGTCTCCTCCTTTCCCTTCTGCTTTGTTGTTTCCCCGTCCTGGATTTCCTGTGAAGTCAGCTCTCTCCACACAAGTGTGATAAAATAACACTTCTTATTTCCCTCGAGCTTTTGACATGAATTCCATGGAAAGCTTCCTTTTGGAAGCAGGGATAAAGTAATTAGTGGGAATTTGAAGAGAAAAATGGGTCTGAAAATAATAAAACCAACCAGGTAATCAATGGTTATTTGTGACAGGAGCACCATCAGTGTTAGAGTAATTATGGAACAGATCACAGAGCTGGCAGTGCTCCATTCAGAGCAGTTCAGTTCATTTTTATTTCTGTTTTTTGGGATCCTGCACCTCCTCTGCCCTGAGTGGTGTCTGTCCAGTGCCCTTTTTATGTTGTACTACTGGTGATGATGCACAAAAAGCAGTGCAATGTTAAAAGGGCATTGGCCAGCAATACAATCTGCATTATTCTGTATTGTTTTTAACAATATACAAACCCAAAATGTGTCTGAGACCACAAAATGAGATTGCCACTGGTTTATTTTTATTTATTATTTTTTAAGGAGGAACATTGCTATTTAATGACAAATGCCATAATCCCTGTCTTAGAAATGGCCCAGGTCACTCAGCTCTGTGTACATCCCAAAAATCCCCTTTCTCCACTCCATTCCCAGGTTTCTTGGTGTTTTTTAAAATATCTCAGCAGCTCCCAAGCCTGAGAGTCCTCCAGCTCTCAATATGTGTTAAAAATCCCAATAATCCCTGAGATTTCTGGAACACACCCTCCCTATGGTGGTGTTCTCACTCCCCATGGTAAAGGCCATCCCCAGAGCAGGAAAAGGAGTGTTTAAGTGCATTTAATGGAGTTTTAAAGTGCATTTAATGGAGTTTTTAAGTGAATCTAATGGAGTTTTTAAGTGCATTTTACTGTGATTCACACTGGAAATTATAAAGAATAAATTCTGCTGTCTAGCAGATATTCCCTATAATGCAGTTTAGCAACATCTGTCTGATGGCAGGTTGGAATCTCAGCTTGCTGGGAGGAAAATCCAAGCCATAAATAAATGGAATTTCCAAAAAAAAATGGAATTTCCAAAACAAATGGAATTTCCAGTTTAAAAAGCACCAAACAGTTTGAAATTGAATTTCTGGCACATCTCTTGTTGGGTGGTTGGGTTTTTTCCCCCTCTCATGATCAGTGGAATGGCAGATTCTGAATAATAAAAATAATAATAATGTGAGTTTTTGTGTGTTAGGATTTGATGAGCTTTAACCTCATGCAGCTCTTCACCATCCACAGAATCCTCTGGCTGAGTTGATGTGGTTTTTATTCCCTTTTTTTGGTGAGTGTGTGGTTGATTGTTGCCCAGAATTGTTGCTGCTAACGAGTGCTCTGACTTTATTGCACTACTGTGCTATACAGAGAGCAGTGCAATAGTATTGTCAAAGCATCTGAGAGCAGAGCCCTCTGCACTTGCTAACATTTCCTTCCAAACCTGTGAGTAAATTACACATTTACACCTCAAACCTGCATTTTCTGTGTGCTTTACTGTGAAATAATCATCCTACAAATGCTTCTGAGCTAGAATGTGAAGGGGGGATTTTTGCAGGTGAAATGCAGCAAGAAGTAAATATTTACAACAATAAAAGCAGTACTAATGAACTGTGTTAATGAGCTTAAAATTGTGGCCACATTTAGCTTCGCATCCAGTTTTTAATGTCCTGAATCACAGTGTGTTAGTTGGCTCCTTATGGAAATCTTAAATTATCAGTATTGAATATTTAATGGGTCAAATTACACATTTACACATCAAACTCTGCATTTTCTGTGTGGTTTATTGTGAAATAATCATCCTACAAATGCTTCTGAGCTAGAATGTGAAGGGGGGATTTTTGCACGTGAAATGCAGCAAGAAATAAATATTTACAAAAATAAAAGCAGTCATAATGAACTGTGATAATGTCCTCACAGAGCTTAAAATTGTGGCCACATTTAGCTTCACATCCAGTTTTTATTTTCCTGAATCACAGTGTGTTAGTTGGCTCCTTATGGAAATGTCAAATTATCAGTATTGAATATTTGATGGGTCATTTTGAAAGCAGTTCAAATGATCAAATGGATTTGTTTTTTGCTTTTCTCCAAAAAAGCAAAAAAGAAAAAAAAAAAAAAGGCAAGAGAGAAAAGCAAAAAATGTTCTTTTTGAGGTGCCTGCCATGGAAAGGAAAACCTACAAATATTTCTTAGTGGAGGAGAACAGAAACCATTGAGCAGTCAGGGAAGAAATCCCTAAATCCCTTGAGAGCTCTTTAAAAATGTACAGTGTGCTGAAAAAGTATTTTATTTTATTTTATTTTATTTCATTTTATTTTATTTTATTTTATTTTATTTATTCTTGGGTTTTGTCCTGGCTGCTTTCTGGGGCAGGTGTGGGAAGAAGTTTTGCTGGGCAGATGGTGAATTATGGTGAAAGTTTTCCCCTTGATTTATGGATGCTCCAGCTCTTCACTGGATTTATTCTCCTTTTCATAAGCTGTTATTGAAAATGTGCTGGAGGTGTGTGGAGCATCATCCATCACCCTCAGAAAGGGGATTTTATTGCAGATCTAACCCTGCTCCTTCAGGCTGGATTTCCAAACTCCCAAAGGCATCCATGGCCATTCCTTAAGGCTTGTGAAAAACTCCAATCGCTTGTTTTTAACATTTAAAAAGTTAAATAGTAATAAAATGGTTATAAAAATAGTAATACAATTAATTATAATTTGGATAATTTGAATTAGGACAATATGAGACAATAGAAATAAAGACTTTTGGATGTCTGGGTACCTTTTCTGGGCAAAATAAGCCCAAATAAGGACACAGTTAACAGAGGATTAACCCTTAAAAACAAACAGCTCATGTGATGCATAAATTCCATTCAAACACAGGATTCTGTCTGGTCATCATCAGCTTCTTCCTCTGAACCCCAACAGCACCTTGAGGCAGGAAGAAGTTCATTTCTCCTCATAATGGGGCAATAAATTCTCTTTCTCTGAAAGATTCAGGTGTCCTGTGGCTGCTATCTCGCTGCCAGTCCTTTCTTTAAATAAACTATCCTACATAGCACAGTTTCTATTTTAACAGTTTTATAACCTAAAACTATATTTAACACAGTACTTAAGAGAAATAATACAGCATTACTTTCTAACACAACACATACAACATTCATTTTAATACTTACAATCATAAAATACATGCATTTTTCACAGGCTGATGTTCAAAACATAAATATTGCAATCCCAGCCTGACCACAGACTGTGGGTATTTATTCCTTTATAACAAATACAGCCTTGCTTTGATCCTTAAAAAAAAAATTAGAATGGTCACTTTGGGGTTAATCTCAAAATAAACAGTGAAAAGCAACTTAAGGAAGTCACAACCATTTTTAACTTGCTTTCATCATTGTCTCTTCTGTGAGTGTAAAATCACTGAATTATTGTGTCAGAGAGTTAATGAGCTGCTTGGGAGCTGGGGAAACTGCCTTTCCTGAAAGTGGAAGTCTTTAACAGATATTAAAATTGCAGACTAAAATTAATTAAGTAGTAATGCTATCAGCAGAGTGTTTTACAAGGCAATTAGACAATTCTCTGGTGGCTTCTTTATCCCAAGGAAAGAAAAGTGATGTCATCCATTTTATGAGCTGGTAGTCAGGCTGGTTTATTAGGGAATAATAAAGTGTATTGTGGACATTAAAACCACCTGAAAGAACACATCCCTAATATGATTATTAATAAAAGCTCTGATGATTCTCTTGGATCCTGAATTTACTCATAATCTCCTCTGGGTAAATAACTGAAGTGCTGTAGTTTTGCTAACAGAACCCTTTATATTTGAAAAAATTCAATTGGAGAACTTTTATGGTCTCTGAGCCTTTCAAAGTGAGGCCTCCTGCTTTCCTGAAGCACAGCTTGGGGTTTGTCTGCAGTTTTTGGGTTTTAATAAACTGTGCCTGACCTTAAATATTTTAGTTCCAGAAAGCAGAATCTGATCTGGATTTTATTCAGCGCAGAGTGGAGTTGGAAATAATGAAAAGTCTTTCTGAGGATACAGCAGTAGAGGTAGTATTTCCAGATTAAATTCCATTTTATTGCATGAAGTTGGTCATAAATGGGTATTTTTTTTTTCTTTAAACCTGAAATATATGTGGCTGTTCTTTCACTTACTTGTCAGGATTATTATTATTGTTATTGTTGTTGTTATTATTATATGTGGCTGTTCTTTCATCTACTTGTCAGGTTGATATAATATAATATAATATAATATGATATGATATGATATAATATAATATAATATTATATAATATAATATTATATAATATAATATAATATAATATAATATAATATAATATAATATATTATAATATAATATAATATGTTATAATATAATATAATATAATATAATATGATATAATATAATTTATTTCCTGCATCATATATCAAGATAAGTGGCCTAATATGAATTCCAACCAAACTCCTTTGGTTCCCTGGGACAGTGAAATCCTCCCATGTTGTGCTCTGAGCAATCAGTGGTGTTGGCACCTAAATTCAGGTTACAGATTCCAGTCTGAGCTAAAACTCACCCTTGCTCTGAGAGCCAAGATAAACTTGCCAACAAGCAGTGAATAAATTCAGATTTGGGGGAGAGATGAGAGGAAAACAATAAATGACATCACATCAAGGATTTTGTAAATAAACCCTTTTCTCCTGTACATTTTCACTGTAAAGGATTATTTCATGTTAAATATCCAACACCTACACTTCTAAGTGATGTGTGGCCACATGAATTTTATAATTTAATGTAATTTAAATGTTCTGCTCACACAGGAGGATCCAGCTGCTCTCCTGAAGGAGCTCCCAGTGCTGAAATCCAGGTACAAATCCCTGTGTGCCCAGATGGAGGAGATCTCCCTGGAGCAGAAGGAATCCATGGAGAGCATCCGTGCTGCCCTGGAGAAAACCATGGAGATTGTGCAGGCACTGCAGCAGCAAACCCAGCTGGAGGTGGGTTTTTAATTTAATTAAAATCAAAATTTTCATTTTAATCACTTTCTTTTCACTGCTGGCAGTGAACACCAACTTTGTAACCTTTGTGTGCCACTGGAAATTATTGTTTGTGCTGACTTTTAGAAGATCAGGAGACAATTTCCCAGAAGGAATGCTGGCAGGATTGGAGCTCTTTTTGTAAATCCCAATCCCCAGCAGTTAAAATTAGTAAAATCCTTGCTGTTCAGATTTGGAGCTGAGGAGTGTCCATAGAGTGACACAATTTGGGTCATTTCATAGCAATTGACACCTCTGTGCACTCCTCAAGGCCACACTGACAGCTTTTGACACACCTTAAAGAAAATAGAAAATGAAACCAGTTTTAAAAGGCTAAAAAGCTTTTAAATGACAAATTTTCAGTGTCTAAAGGGAGAAAGTTAAAGCATTGTAACAAACCCCCTGGGATTGCTGTTATTCCAAAGCTGTTTTTCCTAAGATAATGCTTAAATTGGTAAAAAACTCAGCAACAAACAACATTTTCTTAAGTGATCTTCAGACACTGCTTCATTATTGAAGAGGTGAAAATATTAATTTTGACCCTTTACAAATGAGGTGATTTAGACCAATATTCTAATGCCTGGAGATTTAGACAGATTTATTAATCTGTCAACAGTTACTGTTAACTTTTAACAGACAAAATGGACTGTATCATGATTTAAAAGAGTGGTTATATATCACAGAATGGAAAATAGATCATATCTTACTGTGTTTTGAGGATATTCTGCCCAGAATAATTTTATACTTGGATTTTCTCAAGGTGGAAGACCCTTTTTTAAGTTATATGTAGAGCTTTAGGTAAAGATTTCCTTGCATTTTTTATATTTCCTAAGATAAAGATTTCCTTGTACTTTTTATATTTCCTAAGATAAAGATTTTCTTGTACTTTTTATATTTCCTAAGATATTCTTTCACTTTTTATATTTCCTAAACCAAAGATGAATCAGACTTCTGGAGACATAAAAATCTTTAAATTCAATACCTTTTTTTAATTGAAAAATTTCTCTTGCTTGACTAATTTATAGTATTGGCGCTAGAGGAAGGTTATGGTTGATTTTCAGCACCGCTTTTTCTGTACATTTGCTTTCAGAGGAAGGAAATCAGGAGTTCACTGTGAGTTTCCATGAGCCAAGGGCTGCACAAACATTGAGTCCCTCTGTAAATATCAGCACCTCAGGAACTGAAGGATCACACTCCTCTGTGTTTGCTTTTTCTTGTTTTCCCAGAACTTACCTCTGTCAGCAGCAGAACAGACTGCAGCCCAGCAGTTAAACCTGGAAACTGAGAAAGAAATGGAATTTTCAGTGCAAGAGGTAATTGGGGCATGGAATGTCAGAATTCCAGAAACCTTGAACCCCAAGTGCAGGAGGGGCTGATTTTGGGATTTCATACCTCTCAAATGAATGGGATTTTTCAGAAATGGGATTAAATTCCTTAACAAACCTTTTCATTTTTATTCTATACAGATTAAACTTTTTAATTGTTCCAGTTAGATGGTCCACAAAGGAGAAATTAGCTTTGATGGAAGACTTTGTTCCTGATATTTTTTAATTGGGATATGTTTGTGTTTCTTCCATTGCAGTTGGTTGCTCTTGTTGATCTTGATAAAGAAACATTTGGGTGGGAGTGAGGGATGTCATTGATTCAAACCAATGTGGGGAGAAATTTAATTTCCTGTGAAATATTAAACAAATTTTGGAATATGAGTAACAATCTATTCTAACTGTCATGCAGTAGAACTTAGATCTCAATTAATATTTATTTAAAAAGTCAGATATTCTCCCATAGCTCGATATGTAATTATCCAATATAATTATCTGCAAATATCTGCTCTGGGTCTCATATTAAAAATATTAAAGAAGGTTAACAGAGGGTGTTTTTCTGATTGAATTTTCCTACTTCTCACTTCACACTGTCACACTTTGTGTCCCTTTATTGCCACACTTGGTTTGCACGGAGCCTGTCCAGCTCCTGCAGCTTCCCTCACCCTTTGTTTGCAAATATCTGCTCCTCCCTTGAGAAATGCTCTCCATTTATGTCCCTCACTAATTCCAGATCATGTGCAGCCCTCTCACATCTGTGCTGGAAAGCTGACTGGCTGAAAGGCTCATCTGACTCGCACATTAATCTTTCTGTGTCCATTTTAAACTTCATTTTTAAACTCTGCTTAATCCCTAAGATTTTGCTGTTGACCTCAGTGGCTGCAAGATCCTTGCTTATCCAATGGCAAAATGTAATTAATGTAAATTTCATGCAGAAATGAAAGTGTAAAAAAAGATTTCTAGGCAAAGCACTAACAAATACTGACATTATTGTTTATTTTTAGCCATCCTCCCCAGGATCTACAGACCCTGGCTCAGCTGAAGGTAAGTGCTGAAAAAATAAACTTCTCACTGATTTAATTTCACAGAGGCTGTGATAGGCAGGAACTGCAGTGTTTTCACTCAAGCACCAGTATCTGCTGCTTTTATGTGAAGAATTTAGACTTTTCTAGAAGGACCTGACCCCTGAGTTACATTCCAGGAATAGTTTATGGGATGTTTCTCCTTGCTTTCATTGGGACTGAAGTGGAAAACTTGTTGTGTTTAAGCTCTGGAAGAAATGGTGCACTAATCTTACCATAGAAATTCTTTTTTTAAACTCATTTATCCCTGCTTATAGGAAGGAATTTTCACAGTTGGTTTTGGTTTGTTAAAAAAAACCCAAAAACACAAACCCAAAAAACAAAGGCAGCTGGTCATTGACAGACCAAATGTGTCAATCCTCATCGGATCTCAAATTAAATGATTTTTTACTGAGTCTCCAGATCCAGTGATTGTTTTTTCTCTCCTTTCTCTTGCTGGAAAATCTTTCTTTAGTCCCACCTAGGGATATTATCAAACACTAATGGAAGCACTTTCTATCTTTGATGCAATTTCTGAAGAAGCAAATATTTTCCATTTCTTTTTTATTTTTAACAAATATCTTCTGTTTCCAATTTTTAGAAGCCCAGTTCATCCCACTGACTAAGGAAGCATTTCTGAGTGTGCCCAGGAGCATTAGAAGCACTGTCAAGTTAGCAGACCTGAATAATTTTTACAAGGAGTTATTTAACCATTTCATTGTACAGAACAACAGGTAAGGCTTAAAGCCATTCGTGGGAAGATTTTTATAAACTGCAAATAATTTTATCCTTTTTAAATTAAATAAAAGCAGCTAGTTAAGCATATTGTAAATTCAAAAAGCCCTGAGACCAAACCCTGCCCTCCCCTCACCATCCCCTCCTGACCCTTCTCTGGGTGAGTGCTGGGGGTTTCTGACAGGCTGATGTTATAAAAAAAGGAAGTTTTAAACTCAGGAATTCTGTCTTTTTAACCCTGAGATTTACAAATGACTGCTGGGATTTGAAGTGGCATAGAAAAGCTGATGGTAATCTGAATAAATTTGAGATTTACAAAAATCATTGATTAACCAGCATGTGCTTTTTTAGCCTTTTTTCTGCCAGATCTGATGTTTGATCCCTGCTTTACTAAATTGTTTTTGTCTTACAGAGCAGCACTGAGTCTTTCACAGATGAAAAAGATGAATATGAAAGCCACTGACTCAAGAATTCGAATCCTGGAAGAACTGGAGATTGTAGAACTCGACAAACAAGGAAATGTTAAATTAGCTGTGTGAAAGAAAACTCATCTGCCACAGAATCATCCTGGGTTATTGAGGAACAAGAATTTCTCTGGAAGAAGAGTTCCACTGTAGGGAAGTTGTTCATGTTTCTGTATAAATATTCTGTTGGTAATACTTGAAATTGGAGAGTTCAAGGTCACTGAGGTTGGCACTTTACCTTGGCTGTTGAAGGGATTGTGGTTGATGCATTTTTAAGGAATGTTGTGAGCCATGTTCCACTTTCTTGCTGCGTTCCTGAGGGGGTTTTAAAGGCAAATAATCCAAGCCTCTTCATTGTCCTTGCATTCCTGAATAAAGATTTATTTTACTTTTGTTGAAGTGACTCCTGACCCTGATCCTTGCCCTGATTCATTTCCCTTTGATGTGAATTCCCTTGGATTTTTACAGACCAGGCAGGGTCAGAAGGGATTTCTGGGCACTGCCCAATCCAAGCCCCTAAACTGCAGCTCAGGGCAGAATCCTGAAAATTCCCAAGGATACAGAATTTACAACCTTTTGACCACTCTAACAGTGAAAAGCATAACATTTTTTTCTTATTTATAATATTTCTATATTATATATATTATACATTCCATATATATTATCTACTTTTTAATATTTATATTTATATTGTTATATTTCAGCATAATTTGAGAGGGTAAGATACATGAAATTTTATTAAGCTACTGTAGGTTTTTTTTTTTTGTAAAATTATGTCTGTCAAAGGAGAGAAATTTAAATTAGTGCCCTTAGGGAGGGAAAGGCTGATTTCTGAACCCATCCTTGAACTGCTTTAGGGTTTGATGGGAAGAGAAACAGGCTGGGTATTGCAGAGGAAAGAACAGGGATAAGTTGATTTTATGGTGTCTGCTGCCAAGTGTGCCCTTTGAGGAGTAACTAATCAGTTTCAAGCAATTATTCAGTTTCACAAACTGATTTAGTAGTTTTTAACCACATAGATCTTCTAATAGAGGACTCAAAGCTTGCTGTGCCACTACCTATAGCAGGGTTAAATATTCCATTTAAAGCTGGCTGTAGTAACTGAAGACGGTTGTCAGTAGAGGCCGGAAACCCATCCCTGCTCCTGAAATCTCGCAGGTAAGGAAGAATAAAGAAAAATAATTAAGAAAAATAAAGAAAATGAAAGGAAAATACAGGAATGTGCAAACATGGGGCTCTCTCCCTGCCGGTTGCCCTCAGACGCCACCTGCGTTCCCCTTGGGATGCCTTTGGCAGCTGGGGTGTGCCTGGAGCTCTGAGTTTTGAGGTTTCAAAACCCTAACCCAAGGTCTAACCCTAAACCCTAACCCAAGGTGTAACACCAAACTGTTGGGGCAGTTTAGTGTTGCCCTTGGGATGCCTTTTGCAGCTGCAGCGTGCCTGGAGCTCTGGGTTTTGCGGTTTCAAACCCCAACCCCAGGTCTAACCCTACCGCAACCCTCGGCACCCATCGCAGCCTCGGCGCCTCACGCTCCGCCACGCCCGTTTGGGGCGGTCCCGCGCATGCGCAGCGCGGGCGGGGCGGGGCGGTCTCGCTGCCGCGGTCACGGCCCGGCCGGTGCGCGGGGCCGAGCTCGGTGCGCTGGCTCCGCTCCTCGCAGCGCCGTTCCTGGAGCTCCTGCTCCTCACCCGCGGGCACGGACAGGGAGCCCGGGGACAGCCGTCCCTGCTGCCGCCGCTGGCGGAGCCGCAGCCATGGACGAGCAGAGCGTGGAGGTGAGGGCGGGCGGGCGGCGCGCGCTCCCTCAGGGCGGTGAGGGGGCAGCGGCTGCGGCTTCTCCGCCCGCGGTGAGGGGGCAGCGGCTGCGGCACCCGCCCGCTTTACCGGAGCCCCTCGCAGCCTCCGCGTACCCTGTGTGAGGGGGGAAAAAACGCCGAGCGGTAGCGAACGGTGTCGGCCCGGGCACTGGGAACAGCCTGCGGCGCTGCGGGGCTTGGCGCGGGTGGGCAGGCAGGTGGGGAGGGGGTCGGAAATGAGCTGGCGGAGCGCCGCGGGGCCGGTTCCGGAGGGGGATGGATCCATGGAGAGATGTAGACCTGGCGCACACCGAGCCCGCCCCGGCACCGTGGAGGTGCAGAAGTGGCTGTGACCCGGTAGCTCCGACACCTGCTGGGGGCTGTGTCACTGCCAGGCTGGGAAAGGATGTAAAAGACCGGCTGCGATTTTCTTCTCTAACCGCATATGGTGCGTTCAATGGCTTGTAGCTGTTAAAGGAGCGTTAATGTGTGGGAGATGTATTGGTATCCCTAAATTGAATATGTGTTGCTTTTGTGCTGATTCACAATCTGAGTTCAGTGGGAAAAAAAAATAGCCCACGTGAAGGACCTTATAAAGTTCCAGAGTTATAACCAGAAATTATAAGTCCTGTATGTATATATAAAGTGTATGTATATGTAAAACTTCTTTATCAGTTCAAAATTATCAATATGGAAAGCAAACATTGCTTTCAAAATCTGGGGAATGTTTTTATCACTTTCTCATTTGGGGAATGTTTTTATCACCCAAAATTGATTAAATGGGGTGGGGGATGAGTGTAGAAATATTGGAGCTAATGCTAATGGTAGACCTTAAAAGAATATAAGTATTATGAAAGTCTAAAAAATACCCAATTCAGTTCAACCCCTCTTGTGTATTACACATACATGCACTTACCGTGATCTAGAAATAGTGAAATAGTTTAGTTCAGTGCACTGTCTGCAGGTACAACTCCATTTCTTCTGGCAGCTGCTCAATCCCGTGTGAACACAAACAGGAATATCTCGGCTACAGAAGAGCCTGCTCCGAAAGAGATAAGGCAAACAGAAAGTATTCCTTGAAAAAGAGAATAATGTTATAAAACAGCAGCTGGTGCAGTGTGGGAGAAGCTGAGGGGGAGAGCTGTGCTGTGCAGGTTGCGTCTCCCTCAGAGAGGTGCTGTTTGGAACGGCACAGAAACCTGGCACTGTGCCCGGGGAACAAAGGCAGCCCTGGTGTGTCTGAAGCGTGTTTAACAATGGTGCTAATCCCCCTCTGCAGAGCATTGCCGAGGTGTTCCGATGTTTTATTTGTATGGAGAAGCTGCGGGACGCCCGCCTGTGCCCCCACTGCTCCAAGCTCTGCTGTTTCAGCTGTATCCGGGTGAGTTTGCTTGCTTTGGGCTGTTCTTTCAAAGGTTTGAACTGAAAACTGGCTGAGCTTATGAAAACATTCTTTTCCTGGAGTTCCAAGGATTCCTTTTTTGTTTTTTTTTTCCCCTTCCCCTTTAGTTTCCCTTTCAAAACCTTTTATAACTCCCCTGAGGAAGAAGTAGGCAGGCTGTGCATTGCCTTCAGTGCTGCTAATTATAGGCACCATCTGGAATAATTGCTTTAAGGAAGAGACACACAATGATCCCTCCTTTAGCACCTCCTGAGAGCTGGTGATGCCTGAATGGGAGAGAAAAGTTGGGACAGGAATCAGATGCTGGCTTTGCATCCAGGAAGGTCACAGCATCACCTCGTGTACCCTGGAGGTGTTTTATAAAGCTTGTCAGGCTGCTGTGGCGTGATCAGGTGGGGCTAAATCTTCCTCAGGGGAGTCTGAGGCAGCACCTGAATCCTCATTCCTTTATTTAGGCCCTGGTTCCCAGTGTATCACACTCCAGTTCCAAATCCAGATGCTGTTTTGTGTTGCTGTAGCAGCAGAAGGTTCAGCTGAGGTTTCCAGGCCTCCAGTAGTATTTCCAGAAATTGGAGCAGACATTCATCCTTCGCTCTGGAAGCTCTGACAGGAGCTGGAGGTGAAGGATTCGTGCTGCATATTAAGGGTTTTAGTGACATATTGTTGCTGGGTGGTGAGAGATTATTCATGAGACTCTTTAAATGTAGTAGAGAGCTGACAAATATAAACCCATCAAGTGCTGAGCTTTTACACTTGTGAGTTGTAGTGGGCAGGTGAAGTTCTTTGCTCAGCTGTTTGTCCCTGGAGCTTTCTGGAAGAGAAGCATTCACAGGCTCCTTGTGGATTTGATCATTGAACTTCAGCTATTTAATTTGTCTATAAATAACTCAAGAGGAAGAAATAAATTACCTTGAAGACTAATTAGACTCTGAGAAAGATGCTTGTGGTGTCTTTTTCTTTCCTTTATTGAAGCAGCCTCTTTAGTCTAAAACTCTGGGAATCTGCCAGGTGGGTGGTTCCCAATGCAATATTTGGTACCTCCAAATTCTCTGTGTAATTTAAATGAAGCATCTCTGCCATCTGAAGACAAAGTGGTTGCTTGTTACTAAGACACAAATAGCAGCTTCTTCTGTGACTAAGTGGTTGAACAGTTAAATTGAAAATTTGCTTAACAGGGAAAAAGTAATAAATTAAGTAACTCCTAATTAATGATAGAATGTATTTGCCTGCAGTTCTTTCATTCCACTCTGTTTAAAAAGGTTTCTCCTTTTTCCATCACAGCGTTGGCTGACTGAACAAAGAGCTCAGTGCCCTCATTGTAGGTAAGGTATTTTTAATAGCAGGGATTAGGTGGATTCTCCTGTTATGATCAATCTCTTTTTCAGTGCAACTTGCACTAAATTTATAAGCTTTAAATTTTTTTCAGACCTGCCTGCTGTTTCTTTAAAAATTGGCCCTGGTATAATACTTCTTCTAAAATGCATTCTGGTTTTGTGAGAAGCTGAGCAGTATCTTTGTTCTTCCCACATAACACTGCTGTGCACATAGCTGGTGTAACAGGAGTGACTACAGGGAATTCCTCTTTATATTCTTCTTTCAAAAGTCAGAGCCCAGGAGCTTCAGTTTTCAGGGTGACAATGCCCATTTTTAGTGCCTGTAATTTGTGTGGAAATGATGCAATTTCTGTGCATCATTGCAGGCTGCACTTCCCACCTCTTCCAAATGATCAAATTGACTTAATTTATTTTTTTCTCATGGAATAACTTGTCCAGTTTCTGCTCTTTTTTACCTGTGACTCTTCTGGTAATGTAGAATTGAACTGAGCTCATTTCAGTGCTTCTTGTTTAGCTCCTGGAGCCAAATTCCTGCTCTAACTGTGCCATCCTTCCTGCAGAGCCCCCC